ATTTTTTTAAAAAATAAATTAAAGGAACTCCTGAGCGTAAAGACAATATGGTCCTTGGTAGACGAGTGATCAAGGATTAAGTGCGTATATGATAAACTGAAACATCACCTACCTTATCCGTTGGATATGTAAAATCAAGAATTCCTTGGCCTTAACCGACGGCACGACATACTCCCACAAATCATTGTCGCGAAAAACAGGGGCCTCCTTGTTGAATTTTGGGGAAAGTGGCAAATTACGTAAATAAGCAGCTGGCTAAATGTCAATTGGCAACGACTGACTCAACTTACTGTCTGACTTCATTAAAGCCATTTCACCAGTTGTTTCACGCGCCTTCACTCCCTCCGTGCACACAACGTTTCTTAAATTCATTTTTTTTTTAATTCTTTTAATTCCTCTACCAATGGGATTATGCCATGTTTTCCATTTTTAATCCCAAAATATCATTGCCTGCGCCCCGTTTTGGATTTCAGTTTTACAGTGTTTAATTAACCCCTAACGGCCGAGCATTTAGAACAAAAAAATATTGTTAAATTTTTTTAAAAGAAATAGCTTTGATAACGGCGTTAGGATTGAAAAGCTTAAAATTACTTAAATTAGTAACACAGGCTCCGGTGCGGTTTAGGTGTTAGCTGCAACGAAATGAATCCATTTTTTTTCCTCGACCTACAATTTTGTTCTTTAATATATTTTTGATATAAAAAATTATTTTTTTATTATCAATAAAACTTTTAAATTCTACAAAAAAATTAATAGAATAAATATATCATATGACAATCTCTTAATCTTATTTATAAAATTTTTAAAAAAAATTCATTATCAATACATCAAAATCGAATTCTTCAACATCATTAACTGATAACTACAAATTTGTTTAGAGGCAAATTTCTGAGATGGGTCTAATTATATAAAGTAGAGACTTTATCTTTTATTTAATTATGTAATTAAAATTATATTCAGCATATATTTTCCTTTTTTTTTTTTGGAAAATGTTATTGAACACAAAAGTGTAAAAATTTTATCTATACACCATTAAAAAAGTAAAATTTACCATAAAATTAAAAATTTAAGCTAATTGATACATGTATTTATTATTGAATTAAAAAAAATATCAAATCTAAATGTCAATAGCTTTAATGTGATTTTGATGACAATTTTAACAAGTGACCTTCAATATCAAATAAATGTTTTTCAAACTATGTGCCAAATTAAATATTGATCTTAAATAAAAAAAAAATTGGTTGTATAAGTTAAATAAAAAAGCTGCTCAAATTATTAACCATGAGAATTGAGAACTAGTTTGGTAAAATAAAAACAAATTACACGCAACCTTTCTTCATAAAATGATAAGATGCAAATCAATTCTATTTATAGAACCAAACAAGTGTAATAAATGAACGTAGGCACTAAAATTGTTTGTAGCATAATAATAATAATAATAATAATAATAATAATAATGATTAGCGTGATTAAAATATCTACCTATACATATAGTTGGGAATGAGGATAATGTTGCTACTGTTGTCATAATAATCCCGTGGGGTTGAAAGATGCCAAAATAGGATTTGCATCAAATCCAATGAGAAAAACCATCAAATATTTCGTTCGTCTTAAAGTACATCCAAACCCCACAAACCAACTTATGATTAATATTTCCCACAAGTCACCAAAGGAGAAGAGAGTACACACATAAACAAGACATATGATTTCATCACAAGCAAAAAGAAATTCATCCCTTCACATCATCCTTTCCTCAGGTAAGTTTAAAATTTAGAATTCAAAATTTTAATTTAATTGATTGTAATAATTATCTCTAAAAAATTTGGTATTAATAACTTTATAATTTAAATTCTAACATATATAAAAAAATTCAAAAAATTTAATAGCATTATCCAAGCTAAAGCCACAGTAGCAATTATATCTACTCTAGTTCGTGGTCTTAAGGTTATATATCTGTAATCTTTTAAAAGATGGTTTAGTTTATAAAATTTTAAATTTGAAAAGGAAAATGATTTTTAGAAAAGTATGATATCTATTCTTTTTTTATTTTTTTGGATATTATTATATTCAGATTCATTAATTGTTTGAAGAGAAATTCACATATATTAAATTTTTTATAATTATTATAATCTCTTTGATATTATATATATATATATATATATGAAAGTAACTTTTTATTTATTTTATTACTAAAAATTATCTTAACAAAAAATGATACATTTAATAATAAAATAAAATAAATATTTTATTTGATTATTATTTTATTTATAAAAATATCATCAATTGAAGCATTTAGTACTTTTTGAATAATAAAGTTGATAGAAAAAATCGTTTAAAAAAATCAATTAATGTGTTTGTCACTTTTTTTATATCATGAAAAAAATTAAAAATATTTTTTGAATTTTTTATAAAAAATCATTTAAGGTATTTCTGCATAATAATATCTTAAATAATTTTTTATTTTTTTATATTATGGATCATTTAATAATTATCCTTTAATTTATAAAAAAATTATTTAAGATGTTATGTACAAAAATACCTTAAATAATTTTTTTATAAAAATATTAATCATAAATCTTAAATCTTAAAATATAACCTATTTATAAAAATATAAAAAGATTATTTAATACTTTTTTGTATAGAAAACACTTTAAATTTAATATTTAAGGTTTAAGGATTAATATTTTTATAAAAAAAATATTTAAGGTATTTTTTATATAATATTTTATATAATTACTTTTATACTTACTTTTTCTATACAAAAATTTATAAATTAATTTCATCACTTACATACATACTTTTTAAAAAATAATTATTATTTTATCAATTTTTTACTTAAATCAAATTATAATAAGATGAATTTTTTATTTGACACTGAATACCTTGAATCAAATATAAAAATCAAATAAACAATGTGAAGATTTCGAAAAATAATTTATGCCGTCTTATTGATTCTTTCAAACTAAACATCACCTTATTGATTTTTTTTTTAATATTATTGTCGTCTAGTTTGAGGTTTTTGTTTGACAGAATGATAAAAAAGGGGTAAAAGATGAAGGATACCAAGGAAATAGATTGTCTCCACTTTATCTTTGATTAGGATAGTCATGACTTGAGTGTAGTTTTAGACTAGTTTAGAATTTCGTACAAGTAGAGATAACACAAACATTGGTTTACGTAAAAAATGTTCAAATTCAACTACTGAAGTTTACGTAAATTACAAAAAGATTGTGATGTTAAAACCTGTGTTAGAATCAAACAAGAAAAAAAAGAACCCTTTGTTGGTTAGAAGTCAATGACCAAACAGATCCCATTTAATCGAAGGGCGAAGATTATAATCACTGTTAAACAGTGACGTGGCTAAAAATAAATGGATAATGAACTTGCGGCACGTAGATTGGAACCTTCAATTTCAAAAGTACGCAAAGAAAGTGGGCCCCACATCCTCCCTTGGTTAAAAAAAAAAAGAAAGGAGGCGCGTGGGAATGAAACAGAGAAAGTGGGAAAGAAAAGAGGAGAGAGAGGAGGAGGGCGTGAGCTGTGGGGGATGGTACTGTGGGACCCACCAACCATGTGCCCTTCTTCCTGTCTCCACCAGCTCCTGCCGCTCAATGATTAGCACTCTTCTCCCTCTCTCTCCTCTTCCGTGTAAAAATTTTAATTCCAAATTCTTCTTCTTTCAAAACTTTTGGTGGTGTCTTTTAATCTCCGATAACCCGAAACAGCAGTGGCAATCTTTTTTAGTTTGAAGCAAAACTTTAAGAAGAAAAAAAAAAAAAAAGGTAAAGGGGAATTTGGAGTAAGAGTGTAGCGGTCCTTCCCATGTCAAATTCAGAGGGTGGTGCTACAAACGGAGCTATAATGGACCCTCAGAGACAACAAGCGCCGGGCAACGGTTCCCTCGTCGGTCAAAAAACCTCCTTCCAAAAGACCGTCACAGCAAAGTCGATTGGTCGTGGAAGAAGAATCAGGATGCCAATCATTTGTGCCGCTCGTGTTTTCCAGTTGACTCGTGAGTTGGGGTCACAAGTCCGATGGTCAGACTATTGAGTGGCTGTTACGCCAAGCTGAACCTTCCATAGTAGCCGCCCACTGGTACTGGAACAACTCCCGCCAGCTTCTCCAGCGTGTCGGCTTCCGTCCGCGGCGGAGCTAATTCTACTTCTTTACCGTCCATGACTTCTTCGTCTTTGGATCAAAGCCTCTACAAGGCCCCACCCCTTTTATACTCGGGAAACGTGTCAGGTCCGACGATGATAACGCGGAAAGGACGATTCCGGAGGGGTCACAGTTGGCCCAGGCGTGGGGTCCATTGTGGACCCGCTGGGACACACACCAGGTGGGTTCTGGGCTGTTCCGGCGAGGTCCGACTTTGGTCAATTATGGAGGCTTCGCGCCCCCGCCTCCACCGGAGATGGTGGTACAAACGGCTGCTGTTGCTGCTGCGGGCGGGCTTCAGCAACCAGCCGCTGCGTTGTTCGTCCAGCAACAGCAAGCGATGGAGAAGCGTCGGCGGCGAGGGTTGGCAATTATCTTCCTAGTCATTTAAATTTTGTTAGCCTCGTTGTCGGGTCCTCCAGGATTCGGGTCGGAGAGGCGAGGATCCTCGTTGAATTGTGGTGCGACCATTTTTACCCTTATTGTTGTTGGGAGTATATAAATTTATATGAATATATATAGATTTCTATAAATATGTGTATGGTTGTTGTTTTCATCGTGTGTGGATGTGGAAGAGGATCTTTAGTTGGAATTTTAGCGGTTAGGGATTAGGGTTTCGAGGGAGATAATTTGGATGATGAATGGATTCAAATTAGGGTTGTTTTCTTAGCACTTTTATTTGATGTGATTAATTAGGGTTTTAGACCGTTCACATTGTTTAGGATTTTGAGGGTTTATGTTGGAGAAGGAGAGGGGAGTCAAGAATTAGGCGTGGTGACTGAGACTTTTGCGACCGGCCGCTTGCTGAATTTGGGGATTTCCAGAATTGGGGATTTCTTTTGTGATTTGTCAAGTTTGGTAATAATTTTTTTTTTTTTGAGAAAATAGGGTGCTATTATTTCTCTTTGCTTTTGTGCGAGGTCTTGCTGATTTCTTTCTGATTTGAAGAACCGTGGAGGTTTATTTCCCATGGTTGAAAGAGGTTGTAAACCTGTATTTGAAGAATTCATTTGCATTTCCCGCGTTGGCAAGTTCTTCCATAATTCATGATGATTATAGCAATGTATGAACGTGCAAAGCGAGTTGAATCTTAGTTGTGGGATTGTGCTTGATTTACACATTATTGGAATTTGAGTTTTGTTAACAAAAATTGGATGACCGGAGATGCTGAAAACCAGAGCTTTGCTCTGTATTGACACCGTGCTTGGCTTTGATGTTGTCGACATATGGTCTCCCTAAATATGCTGGAAATTCCCTTTATTGCTAATGATGTTTGGAGAATTATTAGTTTTCATTGCTGCCATGTGGGCGTAGCCTAGCATTGTTTATGGTTCTTAAGTGCAAGCTCATGATATGCCATGGACGTGGGTTGATCTGGCCCTTTCTCTTCTGCTTTCACTGTCTATGTTGATCACATGATCTCAAAGGAGGACTGCCGTGTGAAAGATAAAGGCTCTGGTTCCTTTCTGTAAGACCTCTGTTTTGGAAAATTTTAGCTGTATTCTTATCCATTTCTTAGATTTATCAGCGTGCAAATAATGTGTTTTCATGTATGTAAGTGGATTGTTTTGGGTGCCTGTTGTGTGAATAAAAGACCCTTCTGTTTTTCTCAATTTTACTTTCCCTTGCTCATTCTTTCCTTTAGGTGCGTGCTATCATTACCTTCTGTTCTGCTCTACGTAAGAATGCATTTAGTTCTGCTACCAAGCAGTTCAATATCTGGGTTGTGTTTGATTTATGTCTTCTTTCATAATTGGCTCACCCGCTCGTGTCTCTTCAATGGTGAATGTCATCTTTGGACATCTTTAATAAGAATAAGTGGTCCTATCTACTTATTTAATAGTTTGGTTCAGAGGTATAATAATTGGCATGACAACTTGTACTCTTCTTGCTGGGTGTAACCAACAAAACTTATTACTGGAAGTTTGATCACTGTGTAACATATACAGAGCATTGAACTTCATCCATGTAATCAATACTACTTTTGGAAACATTAGAAACTAGAATTGGTTTCTTTGGCTACGCCGATAGAAAGTATAAGCTTTAAAACTAGCTATGATTCTGGATTTTAGTTGTCACTTCCTACTAGTACATGATATTTCTTCTGTGACTTGATTTTAATGACTTTATCATGCTATTTATTGTTCTGTGCAACGTAACTGTATTCCTCAGAACTATGGACTTGCATTGCGTATGCTTGAATAATGTCGTAACTCCTCTTCCTCTTGGTACTTGGAGGGGAGGTAACAAACGCATGCAGCAGTCATCTTGTCGTCCCTCAACCGGAAAAAGAACTGCAGTTAATACAAAAATCTGTGGTGATGGGAAAGAAATCCCTTGAGAGTAAATGTCTGGGCAATTGTACCATTTCGCAACGTGCTGCTTAGGTAGGAAATGTACTACTGTGGATCTTTGAACTTTTACTGGCATGTCAATTGATCTGCTGTAACAAGCATTTTCATGGAAACAATTGCAGAGTTTTCGAAACTTAGTCATCTTATGATTTGAAATGAATTGCTTATCAAAGGAGGGAGGAAGATGGTGACTGAATTGTGTTCCCAAAGGTAGATTGGTAAGGAATTTGCAGTTTCTAGGAAAAGAAATGGGACATGATGATGGATATGAGTCCAGATGATAGTATAATTGTTGAACGGAAGAGTTTTTCAAGCCTTGGCAGAAAGAAGAAAAAACAATCAGTGAAGGCAGTAATGAGCAAACCAATTAGTGAGAGATAGCGAGTAAGAAATCATTAATTTCAGTATCCGGTTCTTCCTCTGTTCTCGTATTATGGTTTTCTTTGTAAAAGAAAAAAAAAATAAAGGGACCCAATAATTGATGGGGGTCCCATAGATTAATGCCTTGTTGAAAAAGTTGGGATGGTCTTATGATGTTTGGACCATCCCAATCTTAATTGCATTTAGAATTTAGACAGGTAAATTTCCCTGCAACAGAAATTAGGCCCGCCATTGCATTTCATTCATGGGCTTGGGACAACTTTAAATCGTGGTGGGCTCTTTTAGCAATTGAAGTGGAACACATGCATGCAAAAGCAATGCAATATCATGGGGTCCTCAAATTTCAGATTTGGGTGATTATTCCAAATTTATAGATGTTTTTGTGCTCCCTTTAAGGGAGCATTTTACACGTATAATAATATATATTTAATATTTACTAGTAGAGTAGGAGGTGGTTACTCTTTAGTGATCCTTTTTAGTTTAGGGCCCATAAAACAGTTAAAAGGACAGGCTGCGCTAAGGCTGATTGAATGGCCTTAACGAAGTCTATTTTCTTTACTTTATTATCCCAATTGTAGTCAGCGTTCTCGCCGGCACTAATGAAACTCACGCCGATGGGTGGGAGCCCTCCAACCGGAATTTCGAATCAACTGTAAATTATAACACAAACCTTAAAATTTAAATCAAAATTTGTAATTAGTGCTAAACAAAATTGTTGAATGATATGCTGATGTTTCCTTTTTTTGATTGTGGATAACAACAATTACTCTTTCCGGATTGCGAGGCCTTTTTTTCTGTTTCCAATTGGACATTGAACTTTTCACATATAATAGCAGCATGGCAGCAATCTAAACCAAAATCGATGAGTTTTATTTCGATCCCATTTTTTAAGATTAATATTTAAAAAAAATTAAATATTACGTTATGATTAAGTTTTAAGTAAATTTGATCTTATCTAATATATAAAAATTATTTTTTAATTAATTATTTAATTTTATATTTATATTTTAAAAATAATATTTTATTAATTTTAAATTAAATTAAATATAATTTTATATAATATTAAATCAGATCAAATTTAAATATAATAAATAAAAAATTATCAAATAAAATCGAATTTAAATTTTTTATATATAAAATCAGATCAAATTCGAAATAAATAATAATTTATCTCAATATAATCCTTGCCGGCAATAAATAGTAGCAATATTTCAATAATTTAGGGGAGAAAGAAAAAAATTGAAATGCTCCCTATGCAAGATCGAACTACAGACGTCCTACCGCTGAGATGAAAGCTTTGCTGCTAATCGAACTTTAAAAATAGAAAGAAGATAAAATTTTATTTTTTTATTCGAAGAGGAAACAAGATTTTCCCTTAGAGAAAGAGAGAGGCTCGAACGGCAGAGCGAAAAGCAAAAAAAATGGCGTCGTTAAGAGGACAACAAGTGATAAGAGCGGGGGACATGGAGAAGATGAGCTTGGAGCAGCTCAAAGTACTGAAAGAACAAGCCGATATTGAGGTCAATCTCTTACAAGACAGCCTTAACAACATCCGCACTGCCTCTGCTCGCCTGGAGATCGCCTCTACCGCTCTTCACGACCTTTCACTCCGCCCCCAAGGTCCATCCATTCTACTATCAGTCACCTTCTCCTTCTTCTTCTTCTTCTTTTAATTATAAAATATACTATTATAATACGTCTTTTGATATTTTTGGGTTTTCTCAAAAAATGGGGAAGAAAATGTTGGTTCCTCTCACTGCTTCGCTCTATCTTCCCGGCACCCTCGACGATGCCGACAAGGTTCTCGTTGATATTGGCACCGGATACTTTGTTGAGGTCTCTATTTTTTTTTCTTGATTTGACCAAATTCTCCCTGATTTTACTGCTTTGTTCAACGCTTGTACTGTAGTTTCATCTAATTTGTCTTTGATTGTTTTATGTTGCAATTTTTGCCAGAAATCAATGGCTGAAGGCAAAGATTATTGCGAGCGTAAGATCAACTTATTAAAATCCAATTTGGATCAACTAATTGTGGTAGCCTTATCCTACTTTCTTGTTTTCAAAAAAGAAAGGATTCTGATTGCCCTTTAACTCATCATCTTTTGGTTTAGAACAAGTATATAACTACAAGTCTTATTAATTTTCATGGTTAATGTTGACTTGTACTTGTTAGTTGTTCCCTAGATTTGATTGCTTTAACGGCTTCTGAAATTAATATTGTCACTGTGGGAAAGGAAGGTCACTCTCTCTGTTCATTAAGTCCTATTTCATACATGTGTACGGAGTTTCGTGATGATGCTAATAAAAGTTCTCGTGGTAAAATTATCAATATAACTTATACTTAAAAGACTTGAGCATAGTCAATCAAGTTGAGATGGATTTCCTTTTTACTTCGCTCAGCTAACTATTTTAAATGCTGGTGTTCTTCTTTGGCAAACAAGATAATGTTGCCTTTATTCTAACTATTTGTAAAATGGTTTTGTTCTTTGAATATTTGTTAATTATTAAGGACCCCTTTCTGTCTTTTTGGTAATGGAACTGTCTGATTGAACACATAGGTTGCTTCTAAGAAGAAAACATTAGCAGATGAAGCTGGAGTAGTTTTACAAGCAAGATTGAAGCAGTTATCTCCTTCAAATTAGGAATTACGTGACCTTCTCAGTATCTCATTATCATTGAGTTCTAAAGATTTCTGTGAACGGACTGCTTGAACTTCATTGCTGGTGATGTCAACTTTATCTTCTTACTGCTTTTGTTTTGGATGGCGGGCATGGAGAATGATCTTTCCAGCATTTTAAGGAAATTCCATTGATAATTTAGAGATATTAATGTTGTTGTTTAGAGGTGCATACTTTCCATTTTCTAACAATTTATACTTTTCTGAATGTTTGTGCTGTTAAATTAGAGAAGTTAAGTCGTGGTAGCTCAATATTTTCAAAAAAGGATCATCGGGAAAGTTGTGGCTGCTAATTCTCTCTCCCTTTCTCTTCTAATATTGGTTTTTTTTTTTGCCAATAAAAGAAATTCTAATATTGGTTGGATTACAACACCAGTAGGCCTTTCCCACCGTTCTGCACTGTATCTTAGTGAAATGATCATATTGATAGGTGATTTAGACCTGGAGCTTTGAAGTGATGGAGGTTTCAAATCTACCCTGACTTAGGCAGGCTTCCTTTGGAAGAGCAGTCGGAAATGCAAGCTTAATGGATACATTTCATCTTGAGTCCCCAAGGGCCATTATAAATTTAGGGGTTCACACTGCATTTAGTTTTATTTCCTTGTATCTGATTGATCTTTGTATATTTCTAGGATTCTAGGAAAGGAGAATCCAAGTTTATGTTAGGAAGAAATTTGGGAGGGGTGGTTATTTCTTTAGTTATTTTGGATAAATGCTAGTGATTCCCATTTATCCAAAAGAAGCACTGTAACTGCTAAAATTCAACTATCTTCTTATTTACAAAATGGGAGAGGTGTTTATTCTTATATTGGAGACAGCAGAAAATCTGGACTGAGAGAAGCAGTCTCATCAGATTCATGCAAGTATGGAGCTCCTGTCAGAAGAGGTGTTTGGTAGGTTTATTTTCTCTGCATCATTGATTGATAAGTGATAACCTTGTCAAATTTAGAATGTAGGCTTGGGCCAGTATGGCACCAGCTGCTTGTGACAATGTGAGGTGCTTGTATGGCACCAGCTGCATCAATGATTGATAAGTTCGGTTATTTGTATTCAAAATCAAGTTTGAACTCGAATTGGTATATATATATATATATATATATATAAAGGTAAAATAATAAGTTTATAATTAAAATAATAAAAAAAATATGTTAAGATATAAAAGTTTGATATTAACATATAAAAGTTTGATTAGACTTATGAGCTATTTGAATTCAGATATTAAGATGTTCAAATTTGATTCACTTGATAAGTTGGACTGTTCGAATTTGGTTCGACAATGATAATTTTGAGTTTTATCAAAACTGAATAAGAGTAGTTTGTGAGCGGCGCCATTCTCTATCCAGACTTCTTGAAAACTTTGGATATTGTCATTACTAAAAAGCCCCAAAACGGGGCTTGGCCATCTGGTAGCAGCAATACAGAAAAATTTGGTGTTTTGGGTTGACTCTATGCTTGCTTGTGATTGTTACTGCCCACAAGTAATATCGTCTTCATGATATGGTAAACCTTTTCGATCATTCTGACCATGTTTAGACGATGACTACTAGGTCTGTCTATACCTTTTCAAAGGCCCCTGCTAGGATAATTACTGTTGGTCTTGGCGTTTCATATTAGAGATGCCTTCAAGTTAGAACTGTTAGGAATGCATGATATAATGAATTCTAAGAAAGGGAAAATTCGTGATAATGAGGGATTTATTTCTACAAGATTAGGTGGTAAGCCGCGGATGAATATTATATCATGAATGTAGATATTTGCTTCTTGTTAGGCTCAGAACTTGAAGAGGTTTCAATTAGGTGGTTTCAGACATCCTCTACTCTAATGAATGAGAAGCTAATATCATATCTTTTTGGATCAATCTTCATTAAACTCAGCTAATAAAAATTAGTGCTCCTCATCAAACGGTAGACAAAACCCTGTTTAATAAATTTTGAACAATGACAACATGAAAAGAATCCAGACAACACCATGCCAATTCTCCACTGAATGACTACGTAATTCACTAATTCTTGACTGAGACTAGTACAACGGCATAAAAAGTCTTGTTCCATCAATGTATAATGACTTATGAATTTCTTCAACAGCAGTGTTTGCCATTAGTGCAACCATTCAATCAAACAGATTACTGACACGAGCTGTGTTCAGTTCAGAGTAAATAAAACCGGAGTAGAAACAAGAAAAAGATAACAAGACTTGTGGCCCCTAGAAGGTTTGCTGCTTTCGCTGTGAGAGGATTGGTATCGACGGTGGGAGAATGTAGTTGACCCAAATTGTCTCCTCATCTTAGCTAAGTGAGTTCCACACCAACTCTAACCAGACTTTTTAAGTTTTAAGCCGAAGTAAATACTTTATGATAGAATTAACAGTTCCGTATTATATTTATTTTGTATTTAATATATATAAAATATAAAATTATCATATAATAATATATATTAATATATCAAATATAAAATATATTTTTTAATTTTAATCAAACTCATTTTGTGAAACTTTAACCATCACATTCATATGTTATTTTTTATATTATTTTCCTTTGGCGTCGTCAATGTGTTCAAAAGTGTCAAGTTTACTTTTTGATTGGTCTACCTTTTTTTCACGTGTCCAATTAGGAAAGCTTAGGGTTGACTAAACGGCACCGTTTCCATTACATTAAAGTGGACTGAAAGAGGGTTTTGGGTTTTAAATTTTAATCATATTGGCCTCCTTCTGCCTCGCTCCACTTGTCTTTCTTCATCCTTGAGCTTCTCCAAAAGTAAAACTTGTTTCCAAAAATAATCGATGTGGTACCTATGTGTATTTTACCACAGACTTTTGGATTACAGGAAACCGGAAGTTGAATCTCTGGCTGACCTATTCGGAGCTTTTGGAGACAAACAGAGCGCAGATTTCCGGACCCAGAACAGGGTTTTGGAATGGCGGCTTCCCAAACACCACCACCCTGACTCCCCTTTCCATTTCGTTAATTTACCTTCCGAAGACGTCGCCAGGAACGTCGCAAACCGGAGTAAGTACTACTCCCATTGTTCTCTTTTCTTTCACTGCTAAAATTAGTTTTCGTTATTGAAACTTGAGACCCTTTTCTGGGGACATTGTAGGTATACTTGTGAAGGGAATTTATGAACTTTGGGGAGAAGGGAGTAGCTATGAGGAACTTGAAGAGGCGGTGAAAATCTACCCAGATGAAAGGAAGTTGCCATATTTGGCGTCCGAAAGGACGTTTAAGATTACTGTTGATAGTTTTGGAAAAGTTATGAGTCTTCAGGAACAGAATGAACGAATTCGTGGACTCTCATATATCCCTTTCAAGGTTTGCTTCTTAATATGATTTTGTTGATTATGAATTTTGCATTGCGTATCAATTTCATTTGAGCATGTAAGAATAGGGGAAAAGGTCATATTTTGGAAATGAAAAGAAGAAGAATTCGAAAGGCTTATTTTGAAAAATTTTGTCAAATTGGTTTCTTGTGGTATCATATTTGCTAATGGTAACACTAATCAACTTGTTTGCAGGGTCGAGTTAATTTAAAGGGTCCAGATCACAATTTCTGGCTCATGGAAACTGATGACAGTGCAACTAATAATGGGCTTCCACCAGTTATGGGAAGGAGAATATTTTTTGGTAGGGAGGTTGGTGGAGCAGACAGGAAGCTTATACCCACGTATCAATTGAAAAGCCGAACTTATCTTGGCCCAACAGCAATGGATGCGGAAATGGCTTTCTTAATGGCCAATCAAGCACAGGCTGCACCTGGGAAACTTGTATATGACCCTTTTGTTGGCACGGGGAGCATTCTTGTTTCTGCAGCTCACTTTGGAGCAATGACAATGGTTTTGTATTTTCTTGCTTTAATCTGAATTATTCTTCACCCAATGCTTTTCTCTTTGAAATCATATGAGCAACTTATGGGCAGTAACTTTTGTCTAATGACAACCGCTTGAATTTGTTCAGGGTGCAGATATCGACATCAGAGTAGTGCGTGATGGACGTGGCCCTGACTGTAATGTCTGGAGCAATTTCAAACAGGTGAATATGCAACATAACAAGCAATTCTTTTTTTTTTTTTTTTTTCATCTACCTGCAATAGATCTGCATGGGATATTTTGCTCATTTGCTACAGCATCTTTGTAGTATGGATTGCCAATTCCAATTGCGTTGTTGAGGGCAGATAACAACCTTCCTCCTTGGCGTCCTGGATTAAAGGAGGTAATATCCTGTAAAATTGCTTGCTTTTGAATATGTAAGTGTGTTCTTAATTGTTTTAAATTTGTAGGCGTACTTCCATTTAACATTTTTTCTTCTAGACTTGCTCAGCTGTTATGATTCCTTATTTCTTTCCTCTCGATGTTGTTTTAACTTAAATACACACGCATCACACATGCACCTTGCGTATAGCTGGTACCTTTCCTTAATTTGCTATGTCATCATAATGGGACGTTGATGTGATCTGATGTATAGTCTTAGAAAGGAGGGCTCAATTTCAAAGATTCTTTAAAAAATATTTAGTAGTTAGTAATGAGGGACAAAGCCACAAGCCAGTGCCTAGAAAGGGATTATTTGGAGTTTTAGAAGAGACTTTTGTGGCTTATTTACCATTACCTATTCTATGTCTCTCTTTTTCGATTTTTAAGTATTCTTTCTTGGTTTTACATAGGTGTTTGATGCAATAATTTGCGATCCCCCGTATGGAGTTCGGGCTGGTGGACGCAAGTCTGGTGGACGAAAATTGCTCAAGGGGGTTGTGGGTCCATACACTGTTCCTGATGACAAAAGGGCAGACCATATACCATCAACTGCATCCTATAGCTTAGTTGAGTGTGGCATGATTTGCTTGACCTTGCTGCTAAGATGCTTGTAATGGGTGGCAGGCTTGTGTTCTTCTATCCTGTGTTAAGAGAAGATGATTCTGTAGAAGACCATTTCCCAGAGCATCCATGTTTCAAGTTGGTTGCCACTTCTGAACAGATACTTAGCACAAGGTACAGTCGAGTTTTTACTCACCATGGTAAAGACATCCGTATACACTGAGGAGCTTGCTTTGGCAGCTACGATAAAACATTTGGAGTTCAAGGAGAATCATGTCAAGTGGTTAGAAGATGGCAATCTTCACTCTTCTGTTTTCAGTCCAGCAGATGTTGAATCAGGTGATTCAAAAGTCAACAAAGAATCAAAGCCCAAATACAGAGGGAAATATGTTTAGTCTTGCTGCTGTTTAGGGCTCATTAGGTTAGACAACAAATTTATACACTCTTAACTTATATATTATGGTTACTAATCTGTCATTCATGTTTTATTCTGAATGACCGATGAATTTTTCATTATTCTGTTATCAGTGTTATCACGATGGTCGGTGCTGAAGGTTCGTGCATGTAAGTTCTGTAGTATTCTA